ACTACTAATACTAATACTAATAATAATAATAATAATAATAATAATAATAATAATAATAGTAATAGTGTTTCTCCATTAGCAGCCTCAGAAGGGAAGGCAGGGCTGGTCCAGGGCTGATCCAGGGCTGATCCAGGTCCTGCATCACTCACACAGGCTGGAAATGCTGCAGGCTGCTCAGCAAACACTCAGGGCACGGTTTGGGTTGTGAGGAACAAAATCTCACCTTGTCCCACCCCCTGCCACGGGCAGGGACACCTTTCACTGTCCCAGGTTGTTCCAAGCCTTGTCCAACCTGGCCTTGAACACTTCCAGGGATGAGGACAGCCCCAGCTTCTCTGGGCAGCTGTGCCAGGTCCTCACATCCTCACAGCCCAGAATTCCTTCCCAAAATCCCACCCATGCCTGCCCTCTGGCACTGGGAAGCCATCCCCCCTTGTCCTGTCCTGTGCAAACCCAGGGCACCACTGGGAATGTTCCTCTGTCTGCTCTGGGGTGCCCTGACCCCCAGGGAGCTCTGGCTGTGACCCTCATCCATGGAGAAAGTTTCCTGAAATATTCCTGTGGTATATTTCCAGAATATACCACAATCCACTAAAGTGTGAAATAGATTATAGAGAGCAGTGTGGGTGCATCACTTGGTGAGAAATTTAGGTTTTGGGATTTTTAGTGTGCACAGGGTGTCATCCTGGGTTTCTTCTTCATGGGTTTGGGTGGCATTTTGTAATTGGGCAGAAAAGTCCCCATTGGGATCAGTTATTGGGTTAAAAGGGAAAATAATCCAGGTGTCAGCTCTTAATTGGATAGTTTAATCTTAAAAGACCTTGTAACAAAAGATTATTGGCCATTTTGTGCCTTCTAATGAAAAGCTGCCCAACTCGTGTTTGTGAAGCTGTTTTACTGATAAATAATAAACACCTGAGTCCAAACATGAACTTCTGCCTGGAGTGCCTTCAATCCAGACCCAGAGAAACTGATACTGTCCCTTCAGGCCCTTGTCCAAAGTCCAGAGCCCCTTTAGGCCCTGCAAGGGGCTCTGAGGTCTCCCTGGAGCCTTCTCTAAGCTGAGCACCCCCAGCTCTCCCAGCCTGTGCCCAGAGCAGAGGAGCTCCAGAGCCCTCAGATCATCTCTGTGGCCTCCCCTGGGCTCACTGCAGCAGCTCCTTGTCCTCCCTGTGCTGGAGGCAGCTCTGCAGGGCAGGGTCTCAGCAGAGCAGAGGGGCAGAATCCCCTGCTGGATGAGCCCAGGGCAGTGTTGGCTTTCTGGGCTGCCAATGAACGTGCTCAGTTCCTATCAAACACATCTCTGTGGCTTTACTCCTTCCCCCTCATTCATTCCAGAATGAGGAATTCATTCCAGACTGAGGAATTCCAGAATTCATTCCAGACTGAGGAATTCATTCCAGACTGAGGAATTCAGGAGTTCATTCCAGACTGAGGAATTCAGGAATTCATTCCAGACTGAGGAATTCAAGAATTCATTCCAGACTGAGGAATTCAGGAATTCATTCCAGACTGAGGAACTCATTCCAGACTGAGGAATTCAAGAATTCATTCCAGACTGAGGAATTCAGGAACTCATTCTGGACTGAGGAATTCATTCCAGACTGAGGAACTCAAGAATTAATTCCAGAGTGAGGAATTCAGGAATTCATTCCAGAATGAGGAAATTAGGAATTAGTTCTGGACTGAGGAACTCAGGAATTCATTCCAGACTGAGGAATTCATTCCAGACTGAGGAACTCAGAAATTCATTCCAGACTGATGAACCCATTCCAGACTGAGGAACTCATTCCAGACTGAGGAACTCAGGAATTCATTCCAGACTGAGGAATTCAGGAATTCATTCTGGACTGAGGAACACATTCCAGACTGAGGAACTCATTCCAGACTGAGGAATTCAGGAATTCATTCTGGACTGAGGAATTCAGGAATTCATTCCAGACTGAAGAATTCAGGAATTAATTCCAGACTGAGGAACCCATTCTAGAATGAGAAATTCATTCCAGACTGGGGAATTCAGGAATTTATTCCAGAATGAGGAATTCAGGAATTCATTCCAGAATGAGGCACTCGTTCCAGACTGAGGAATTCAAGAATTCATTCCAGACTGAGGAATTCAGCAATTCATTCTGGACTGAGGAACTCAGGCATTCATTCCAGAGTGAGGAACCCAATCCAGACTGAGGAATTCAGAAATTTTTTCTGGACTGAGGAATTCAGGAACTCATTCCAGACTGAGGAACTCAGGAACTCGTTCCAGATTGAGGAGCTCCCAAGCAGGTGACACAATGAGCAATGGAAACATCCCAAACTGACCCGAACCCCCCCACGCTGCATCCCCAAAGCCTCGCACCCCTCGAACTTCATTTCCATCCTCCTGGGCCCCGGTGATTGACAGCTGTCAATCAGCGCCGTGAGCGCTGCGTTCTGCTGCCATCTGGCGGCCACTGAGGGGAAACGCGCCCGGCCCGACCCCCCCAGAATCCCCCGAACCCCACCCCGGGCTAGAAATTGTTAAAGGAAACAAACCTGGGTTTGAATTTGTTAAAGGAAATAAAAACCCAGCCTAGAATTTGTTACAGGAAATAAACCCAGCCTAGAATTCGTTACAGGAAAAAATCCGGCCTAGAATTTGTTAACGGAAATAAGAACCTGGTTTGAATTTGTTAAAGGAAATAAACTCAGGTTTGAATTTGTTAAAGGAAATAAAAACCCGGGTTTCAATTTGGTACATGAAATAAACCCGGCCTAGAATTTGTTAAAGGAAATAAAAACCCAGTCAAGAATTTGTTAAACAAAATAAACCTGGCCTAGAATTTGTTACAGGAAATGAACCCGACCTTGGATTTGTGACTGGAAATAGAAACCCAGGTTTGAATTCGTTAAAGGAAATATAAACCCAGCCTAGAACTTGTTAAAGGAAATAAAAACCCGGCCTAGAGTTTGTTAAAGGAAATCAAAACTCGGCTTTGAATTTGTTAACCTGGTTTGAATTTGTTAAAGGAAATAAACCCGGCTTTGAATTCATTTAAAGAAATAAACCTGGCCTAGAATTTGTTAAAGGAAATAAACCCGGCCTAGAATTTGTTACAGGAAATAGAAACTCGATTTTGAACTTGTTAAAGGAAATAAACCTGGCCTAGAATTTGTTAAAGGAAATAAAAACCTGGATTTTAATTTGGTACATGAAATAAACCCGGTTTTGAATTTGTGAAAATAAAGCCTTGGGGCTGGATGCTCCAATGCACTCCTGCACCCCTGGATGCTCCTCCCTCCCCTGCACCCCTTTTTCACAGATAAGGTGATTCTTGCACTGATAAGGGGATTCTTGCACTGATAAGGGGATTTTTGCAGTGACAAGGTGATTCTTGCAGTAATACTGTGATTTTTGCAGTGATAAGGAATTCCTGCAGTGACAAGGTGATTCTTTCAGTGATAATGTGATTCTTGCAGTGATAAGGTGATTTTTGCACTGATAAGGGGATTCTTGCGCTGATAAAAACCTGGAGCTGGAGCCCAGGGTGTCACCAGAACCTGGAGATGGAGCCCAGGATGTCACCAACACCTGGAGATGGAGCCCAGGGTGTCACCAGAACCTGGAGCCCAGGGTGTCACCAGGACGTGGAGATGGAGCCCTGGGTGTCACCAGAACCTGGAGCCCAGGGTGTCACCAGGATGTCACAAGAGCTGGAGATGGAGCCCTGGGTGTCACCAGGACCCGGTGATGGAGCCCAGGGTGTCACCAGGACGTGGAGATGGAGCCCTGGATGTCACCAGAACCAGAACCTGGAGGCCAGGGTGTCACCAGGGTGTCACCAACACCTGGAGATGGAGCCCTGGGTGTCACCAGGACCCAGTGATGGAGCCCAGGATGTCACCAGAACCAGAACCTGGAGCCCAGGGTGTCACCAGGAGCTGGAGATGGAGCTCAGGGTGTCACCAGGACCCGGTGATGGAGCCATGGTGTCACCAGGAGCTGGAGATGGAGCCCAGGGTGTCACCAGGACCCGGTGATGGAGCCCAGGGTGTCACCAAGAGCTGGAGATGGAGCCCAGGGTGTCACCAACACCTGAAGATGGAGCCCAGGGTGTCACCAGGACCCGGTGATGGAGCCCAGGGTGTCACCAAGAGCCTGAGATGGAGCCCAGGGTGTCACCAACACCTGGAGATGGAGCCCAGGGTGTCACCAGGAGCTGGAGCCCAGGGTATCACCAAAACCAGAACCTGGAGCCCAGGGTGTCACCAGGACCTAGAGCTGGAGCCCATGGTGTCACCAGAACGTGGAGATGAAGCCCTGGATGTCACCAGAACCAGAACCTGGAGCCCAGGGTGTCACCAGGATGTCCCCAGTGTCACCCTGCTGCACCCTGCCACACAGAGAGCAGGAAATAAAGAGCCAGAGGCGTGGAAAATTATCAGAAACGTGTATTTTTTTTTCTTTTTAATAGTAAACCTCTTTACAACAAATATAGTGAAAGAGTTTCCAAACAAAACTCATAAGAATTTCTCATGGTAATTATTATTATTATTATCATCATCATTTTTTTTAATATATTTTTTTTCTCCTTATTGTGGAATATACAATAACGCATCACCATACAGCACAAAAAAAGGAATATTGAAAAAACGAAAATCGACGTCTCAACCACGTGCTGCAGTCCCTGGGAAGGAGCCACTGATTGTCAAGGGAGGAGGGAGGGAGGGAATGGGACACGGCATGGGGGGTTCCCAGCCAGGCCAGACCCCGAGGGTGCAAACACTTCAGAAAAGGTGGAATTCGCGGTTAAAACGTCACAAATTCTCGAAATAAACCCTCCCTCCCCTCCCGGGGCCGGTCCCGCTGCTCCTGCCCCGGTGCCCATTCCCTTGACTCGCACACACACCCACACACACCCACACACACGGCTGGAGGAGCATCAGGAAAAAAAACAGGTTAAAAATATATATATATTTATATATATATATATTATAGATACAGTTTCTCCCTTTTTTTTTTTGGGTTTGTTTTTTTTTTTTTTTTTGTTTTTTTTTTCCCTTTTAAATTGCTTCTCAAAACAATAAATAAAACTCCTCGGGGGGTGGGGAAGTGCACGTCCTGGTTTGTTTCTACCTGTGCAGCACCCTGGGGGGAGGATGCAGAGCTGCCTGTGCTGAGCAGGGACATCCAAGGAACCATCACACAGAGAAGCTGACTGGGGTGGGGAGGCATTTAGGATTTTTTAATTTTTTTTTTTTTTTTAATTTTAGTGCATTATTTAAAGGTCTATTCTATTTTACAAAAGGTTTTGCAGACAGCCCAGAGTTTGCTAACACCTACGTGCTTAACTGAGCTATGGGGAGCAAAGGGAGGCTGTGGGGGACAGCAGAGGGAGCAGCAGATGGTCCCCACTTCTCCAGCATCTCTGATTTGCCTGCAAATGCTTGGAAAGGGCCGTGGGGAGGATGGGAGTGGTGGCCCAAGGTGGCCTTGGGGATGCCAGGAGCCCATGGAGAGCCTGGGGATGTTCCTGCAGCTCTGCAGAGGGAGGAGCTGGGCCAGTCGCAGGCAGCAGCAGGAAAATCTCACTCTGAAAACCCATCTGAAGTGAAAAATCCCGCTCTGACCCCCAGCATAATGCTGGGGTGGGTGGGGGAGGCTGGGGGGAGACACAGCCACTCACCCCCACCCAGGGATGGGGAGATTGCAAATCCCTCGGTTCCCAAAAACCTTCCCAGCCTGGGATGGGGATATTGTCAACCCCTCGTTCCCAAAAACCTTCCCAGCCTGGGGGATATTGTCAATCCTTCAGTTCCTGAAAACCTGGGGGATACTGAAAATCCTTGGTTCCAAAAACCTTCCCAGCCTGGGAGATATTGCAAATCCCTCAATTCCCAGCCAGGGGAATATTGTCAATCCCTCAATTCCCCCAAAAACCTTCCCAGCCTGGGGGATATTGCAAATCCTTCGTTCAAAAAAGCCTTCCCAGCCTGGGGAAAATTATCAATCCCTCCATTCCTTCAAAACTTGCCCAGCCCAGGGGATATTGCAAATAACTCAGTCCCCAAAAACCTTCCCAACCTGGGAATATTGTCAATCCCTCAGTCCCCAAAACCTTCCCAGCCTCGGGGATATTGCAGATCCTTAGTTCCAAAAAACCTTCCTAGCCTGGGGGATATTGCAAATCCCTCAATTCCCAGCCAGGGGAATATTGTCAATCCCTCAATTCCCCCCAAAACTGTCCCAACCTGAAAGGTCTCCCTCAGTCCCCAAAAACCTTCCCAGGGATGGGGATATTGTCAATCCCTCAGTTCCTGCCACCTTCCCAGCCCGTTTGGAGCTGTTTTGGCACAGCCTGAGCCACACCACCCTCTTCTGGTTTAAACCCAGCACATCCCAAACAGGCAGAGAAGGGAGCTCGGGAGGAAGATCCTGGGAAGAACCCGGGGTTTTCCCTGGCTGGGGAGAAGAGGGGAGCTGGAACCACCCTGCTCACTGCTCCAAGGTCTCTGATTCCTGCTCAAAGCATAGCAGAGACCCTAAGCATCCCTGCCCAACCAAGAGATCCTCATTTAAAGGCACTCCTGAGTGTGCTGAGCTCCCCAGAGCCATGGGGGTGTTGAGAACCCCGGGGAAAAACAGCCCTGGAATGAAATATATCCCAATATTCCACTGCTGGATCCCAATATCCCACTGCTGGATCTGGGACATGGATATTTGGGGAAAAGCAGCCCTGGCATTGAACATATCCCAATATCCCACTGCCAAGTGGCTGCTCCTGGATCTGGGACATGGAAATTTGGGGAAAAGCAGCCCTGGAATTGAATATATCCCACTGCCAAGTGGCTGCTCACGGATCTGGAATTGAATATATCCCAATATCCCACTGCTGGATCTCGATATCCCACTGCTGGATCTGGGACATGGAAATTTGGGGAAAAGCAGCCCTGGAACGGAATATATTCCAATATCCCACTGCTGGATCCCAATATCCCACTGCTGGATCTGGGACATGGAAATTTGGGGAAAAGCAGCCCTGGAATGGAATATATCCCACTGCCAAGTGGCTGCTCACGGATCTGGAATTGAATATATCCCAATATCCCACTGCTGGATCTCGATATCCCACTGCTGGATCTGGGACATGGAAATTTGGGGAAAAGCAGCCCTGGAACGGAATATATTCCAATATCCCACTGCTGGATCCCAATATCCCACTGCTAGATCTGGGACATGGAAATTTGGGGAAAAGCAGCCCTGGAATGGAATATATCCCAATAATCCACGGCCAAATGGCTGGTCCTGGACCTGGAATTGAATATATCCCAATATCCCACTGCTGGATCTCAATATCCCACTGCTGGATCTGGGACATGGAAATTTCGGGAAAAGCAGCCCTGGAATGGAATATATCCCAATAACCCACTGCCAAATGGCTGCTCCTGGACCTGGAATTGAATATATCCCAATATCTCACTGCCAAATGGCTGCTCCTGGATCTGGGACATGGAAATTTCGGGAAAAGCAGCCCTGGAATGGAATATATCCCAATATCCCACTGCTGGATCCCAATATTCCACTCCTGGATCTAGCACATGGAAATTTGGGGAAATTGAATATATCCCAATATCCCACTGCCAAATGGCTGCTCCTGGATCTGGAATTGAATATATCCCAATATCCCACTGCTGGATCTGGGACATGGAAATTGGGAGAAAAGCAACCCTGGAATGGAATATATCCCAATAACCCACTGCCAAATGGCTGCTCATGGGTCTGGAATTGAATATATCCCAATATTCCACTGCTGGATCTGGCGCATGGAAATTTGGGGAAAACCAGCCCTGGCATTGAATATATCCCAATATCCCACTGCCAAATGGCTGATCCTGGATCTGGGACATGGAAATTTGGGGAAAAGCAGCCCTGGAATTGAATATATCCCAATACCCCACTGCTGGATCCCAATATCCCAGTCCTGGATCTGGCACATGGAAATTTGGAGAAATTGAATATATCCCAATATCCCACTGCCAAATGGCTGCTCCTGGGCCTGGGACATGGAAATTTGGGGAGCAGGGACCTCGGGGAAGAGGTGCAGGGGAAGAGCCAAGAGGGTTAAACAAGAAAATCGCTGTACAACTCGGCCATGTCCAAAGTCAGTATTATTACAATATACTCTGACAAAAATATAATCTCATTTCATATCAATACAACAAAAAAAAAAAAAACAAAAACAAAAAAACAAAAAAAAACCCCAAACCAGTTTTCTGTACTGTTACCATTGCTAACAGATTGAAACTTGCTATTTACAGTTACAGTAGCCAGGTAAAATACTACAGGTGAAAGACCAGAGAGAGGAGGGGCAGAGGGAGAGAAGGGAGAAAAAATCACCAGGGAAAGGGGAAAATAAAGGGGGAAAGGCCCTCTTACATCCCAAATGTGGCTTCCTGCTTTGGACAAGAAAGGGTGGTGGATGGAGGTAGTGAAAACATAATACTTGGTTTGTGGGTCTGGTTGGGTTCTTTTGTGGAAAGGAAAAGAGAAAAAAAAAGAAAAAAAAAAGAAAAAAAAAGAAAAAAAAAAAAAAAGAGAGAAAGGTGAAGTGAGAGGGCAAGGTGGAATAAAGGATGAACATGGGAAAGGGAAACCAGAGCAAACCTTCAGCTGAAGCCCACTGTTAGACACAGCCCAGGAGAAGTGGATGGGGATGAATTTTCACCACTTTGGGTGGTGAAAATCTCCCAAACATCCCCAAATTGTGCCCCTAGCTGGAGGGATGGGAGGCAGGATGTGGCAGAGCTGAGGAGGGGCTGGGAAATGCTCCTTCCCCAGCTGATGGATGCTCTCCCCTCTCCCCAGGAGGGCAGAGGGGACCCCCAGAGCACCAAGTGCCCCTCGGCCCAGCCAAGCCTTGTCCCCAGAGCTGGTGACAAACACCCCAATATCCCAATTCACACCCAAAGTGAGGGGGGGAACCCCCCAGCCAAGCAACACAAGGGGAGGAAAAAGTGTAGGAAGTGAAATTTTCAAGGAAAAGGTGGGGATGTTTTTTTGTGAATTTGCTTTTTCCTTGGTTCGCCGAAATTATTCTGGAGAGGAAGAGGGAAGTGAAAAGGGGGAAGGAAAAGGAAATATTTTCTTTCTCTTTGCCCCACTTTCCCCCAGGCCCATCACCACCAGCTCTGGATTTAACACTTCCACTGCCCCCAGACCCCAACCTGGCAGTGGCCTCAGACACCCCACAGCAACAAACTCCTCCACAAGGGACCCCCAGAGTGTCCCTGCCACACCCACAGCCCCCATGGGGGCTCAGGTGCCCCTGACACCCCCACAGCCACTGCCAGCCTGCCCCAGCACCGAGCTCTTCATTCAAACACCCTGCACAGCCAGGCTCTGTCCCTGTCCCTGCACAGCCAGGCTCTCTGCTACCACCAAACAACCCCCTGAGCAGGGGTCACCCTGTGCACATGCTGACCACCTGATTCCAGCTGACCACTCCATCACAGCTGACCATCCAACCCCAGCTGATTCCAGCTGACCATCCCATCCCAGCTGACCACTCAACCCCAGGTGATCATCAACCCCAGCTGACCATCCAACCCCACCTGATTCCAGCTGACCACCCAACTCCAGCTGACCATGCAACCCCAGGTGACCACCTGATTCCAGCTGCCCATCCAACCCTAGATGACCGCTCCATCCCAGCTGACCATCCAACTCCAGCTGACCATCCACAACTCCAGCTGATTCCAGCTGACCACCCAACTCCAATTGACCATCCAACTCCAGCTGACCATCCAAACCCAGCTGATTCCAGCTGACCACTTGATTCCAGCTGACCATCCAACTCCAGCTGACCATCCCATCCCAGCTGACCATCCAACTCCAGCTGACCATCCAACCCCAGATGACCACCCAACTCCAGCTGATCATCTGATCCTGGCTGATCCCAGCTGACCATCCAACCCCAGCTGATTCCAGCTGACCACTCCAACCCCAGCTGACCACCTGATACCAGCTGACCATCCAAACCCAGCTGACCATTTGAGCCCAGCTGACCATCCAAACCCAGCTGATTCCAGCTGACCATCCAACCCCAGCTGACCACCTGATTCCAGCTGACCATCCAAATCCAGCTGATTCCAGCTGACCATCCATCCCAGCTGACCACCCAACCCCAGCTGACCATTTGAGCCCAGCTGACCATCCAACCCCAGCTGACCACTCCAACTCCAGCTGACCATCCAACTTCAGCTGACCATCTGATTCCAGCTGACCACTCAACCCCAGCTGACCACTCAACACCAGCTGACCATCCAACCCTAGCTGGCCACTCCACCCTTGGTGACCATCCAATTCAAGCTGACCATCCAACCTCAGCTGACCATCCAATTCAAGCTGACCACTCCATCCCAGCTGACCATCCAATTCAAGCTGACCATCCAACTCCAGCTGACCATCCAACTCCAGCTGACCACCCAACCCCAGCTCACCACCTCCAGAGCCCCCAGAGCAGGCAGGACCACCCCCACTGGTCCATCACCATCCTCACGGCATTTTAGGCCCCTTTTAGTGCCCTTCCCACTATTTTAGGTGCTACCCATCATTTAGGGTCCTGCTCCAACCCCAAACCTCCTCCAGGGCTGGGCAGGTGATTCCCACCCCATCCTTCTCCTACAGCTGCCAGCAGCAGCATCACCTGAGCCACACCCTGGGACCTCCTCCCTTCTTCCTCCCTTCATCCTCCTCCTCCTCCTCTCTGCACAAACCTCAGCCATCCCAGCCCACGGCAGAGCTCTGTGCCCCCAGAAGGATGAACCCCACACCGGAACACAGACCCCAAAAACGGGCACAGAGACTCCAAAAACGGGCACAGAGACTCCAAAAATGGGCACAGACACCCCCAAAAATGGGCACAGAGACCCCAAAACCTGGCACAGACACCCCAAAAACGGGCACAGACACCCCAAACCCCAGCTTTGCCAAGCCCTGGGAAAGACCAGCCTCCCCAGGCTGGGGGTCACAGCCCCCCTGTGCCAGCCCCCCGGCTCAGCCCCCTGGCACCCCTGGCACCCCGCGGGCAGGGGGCCGTGCCGCTGCCCCCACCCCGCCTTACCTGGGCTCAGGTGAGGGCTGGAGCATCCACAGAGAGAGAGTTTTAGAAGGTAAAAGATCAGAAACAGACTTTGGTTAAGTAACCACACGTTTAGAAAGGAATATATCAGTTTGGAAACATCTCAGTGCATACTTCTTATATGAAAATATACACAAATGTATTTCATTCTCCAAAAAAGGAACAATTAAAAACAAAAGCAAACTAGCCCAAACACAATATATTAGCTGTTTTTTTGTTGGTTTTTTTTTCTTTTTTTCTTGTTGTTGTCATCCTTTAAAATCTTTAACGCTACACTTTGTTCAGGTTACACTTTTTTTGTCTTTTTTTTGGTTTTTTTGTAAATGCTTTTTTTTTTTCTTCATGCATTTTACACCTTTATAGCCTTTGAGAATAAATAAGCTCCATTTTGCTTCCACATCTCTAAAAACTGCAGCATTTTAACTATTGTCATTTAAATCGTGCAATTTTTTTTTTTTGCAACACCCCTTTTTAAAAAATGGAAAATATATATATATATATTTTAAAACTAAACCCTATACAACGCAAAAATTCCAAATTAAAAAAAAAATTATACACAATTGTAACTGTCAACAGTACAGATGAGCACGAGAAATAAAATTAGATCAGAAACATATTTATAGAAGCACAAAGGAGGGTGTTGGTTTCTTAGATTGTCATTCTTCTCGTTGTCTTTTGAAAATTAGGAGGAGTTTACCAGATACTACAGGCTGGGGGAGGGGGGAAATAAAGGATAATGACCCGGACAAAAAAAAAAAAATAGAATATAATAATAATAAAATAACCCCAAGCCCCCAGCAAAGTGAAGACCCCGACAAACAGCCCCCAAACCCTTTCACTGTGATGTGAGGCCAACGGCGTGTCTGACCTGGGCATGCCCACCTCCCCATGAGCCTGGCACAGCCCAGGAGTGTAGGTGCCAACCCAGAGCTGGACCTGCCCCTGGCACAGCCCAGGGCTGGACCTGCCCCTGGCACCAGGGCTGTACTTGACCCTGGCACAGCCCAGAGTTGTTGGTACCAACCCAGAGCTAGACCTGCCCGTGGCACCAGGGCTGTACTTGCCTATGGCACAGCCCAGAGCTGAACCTGCCCCTGGCACCAACCCAGGGCTGGACCTGCCCTTGGCACAGCCCAGAGCTGGACCTGCCTGTGGCACCAGAGCTGGAACTTCCCCTGGCATCAGAGCTGGACCTGCCCATAGCATAGCCCAGAGCTGTTGGTACCAACCCAGAGCTGTACTTGCCCCTGGCACAGCCCAGAGCTGTACCTGCCCATGGCACCAGAGCTGTACCTGCCCCTGGCACCAGCCCAGAGCCATCTTTGCCCCTGGCACCAGAGCCATCCTTGCCCTGGGCACAGCCCAGAGCCATAGGCACCAACCCAGAGCTGGACCTGCCCCTGGCATCAGCCCAGGGCTGTACTTGTCCCTGGCACCAGAGCCATCCTTGCCCCTGGCACCAGAGCTGTACCTGCCCCTGGCACCAGAGCCATCCTTGCCCCTGGCACCAGAGCCATTCTTGCCCGTGGCACCAGCCCAGAGCCATCCTTGCCCGTGGCACCAGAGCCATCCGTGCCCCTGGCATCAGAGCCATCCTTGCCCGTGGCACAGCCCAGGGAGCGTCGAGTGCTGCAGCTGCAGATCCAGCCGGGCAGATCTGACCCTGCATGTGCCCATCCCAGCGTTTGTCTCTTGGTTTCATGGTTCCAGCCTCTCAGCTTCCAGGCAGAAGTGTGAACTTGAGAGTCAGGGTGTGAAGTCAATGAGCAAAAATGGTTTTTTTTGGTTTTTTCCCCCCTCTCCTGACGGGCATCGAGTGCTGGGGGGTCTCCACTGCTGCCTCCTCTCCGGGGTCTCTGAGCCAGCTGGGCCCTCCTGCCACGCCGCTCCCGTGGGGTTCCTTGGGTTGAGTTGATTTTTTGTGAAGAAAAACAAAAAATAAAATAAAATACAAAAAAAAACCCGAGAGCGATGAGACGTCATTATCCCGCCTAATTTCCAAAGCAAGGCCGTGCAAAGAGAGCTCAGGTGCGCGTCCAGGTACGTCCGGCGGGGCGGGCGAGGAAGACCACGGTCCACAGCAGCTCTCCTGCTTCCCCAAGGGCTTGGCAGGGATGAGGGAGGGAGGAAGATCAGCTCCTGGTGCTGGCATTGCAGAGGTGAGAGCCCAGCCTGGGTGTGGCTGGGGAGGGGGCACGGGGGGGGTTCAATGCACAAAACCTGCCAGGGGTCCTTTCCTCCTCTTGCCCACTCAGAGCATGGAATTCCAAACTGATGGCTGGAGAAGAATAAAGCTGTCATCTGTGGCAGGAATTTGGTCTTTGGAGGTGTGGAGGGGAGGGTTTTGTTTATTGATCTGTCTCCATGCCTTGATCCACGAGCAGGGATGGTGCTGAGGGCACCCAGAACGCCGGCACTGCTGAGCACCCACCACCCTGAGCCACAAAACCAGCTCCTAATTCTCACCCAGCTCCTCAAGGATCTCCTCTCCTCCAACCACTCCTTTTGGGCAGCCCTGTTCATCCCACAATAATCATCAGCTTTTTTTTTTTTTTTTTTTTGTCTTGTTTTTCCAATTAGAAACTTTTTGGTTGGGAAAAGTTTGTAAAACCCCATAAATTTGGTTTTGCCCTCATCCTGGGAGGTTTTTATGCCATCTGCCCCATTCCAAGGCTGAGCTGGCTGCTGACACCTGGCAGAGGGATAAAGCCCAGCCTGACTCAGCTCCTCTCCCTCTGCTGAACCCCAGGAACCCCCAGCTCCTCCACAGCCCCCCAAGGCTGGCCAAGCTCCAGCTGGCAAAGGTGGCACCTGGGCAGGTTTGGTGCCAGTTTGGGACTGTCACCTTGGGGTGACAGGGCAGCAGGCTGGGAGGGGACACCAGCACGAGCACCTGCAGGGACAGAGTCCATCCCTAATGGCAATGACAGCCAGGAACAGCCCCTTCTCCTCCAAACCCTCCTGGAACTGCCCCTTCTCCTCCAAACCCTCCTGGAAGTGCCCCTTCTCCTCCAAACCTTCCTGGAAGTGCCCCTTCTCCTCCAAACCCTCCTGGAATGGCCCCTTCTCCTCCAAACCCTCCTGGAACTGCCCCTTCTCCTCCAAACCCTCCAACCATGAGCAGGTTGATGCATTTTGGGATCAACACTCATTCCTGGGAAATTGCCAGAGCGAGTGGCAGCATGAGGAAATTCCTCAGTTTTTCCTTTTTCCTTCCACCAAATCATTGCTCAAGGAGATTTTCTGCACAGCTCACTGTTGCCTTTTGAGGCCTAGAAACCTTCAGGCAAAATCTCATTTTAGGATCATTACTTCAGTTGCATCTTTCAGTAAAAAAAATTAATTTCTTCCCATTTTCCTGATTTAAAGCTTTGGCCCATGTGCAACATTTCTCAAATGTTTTTATGGACGTTGTTTGCTAAAATCCATCATTTTCTCTCCAAACAGCACTAAAATCCCTTCTCCACACACCTGCTGTGCCGAGGTGGAGGTGAGGGAAACAGGAACTCCAGTGTTCCAGTGACCCTGGTGAGGAACAGCGGAGTTCCCTGCTCAGGCAGGAAATGGGACTGTCATGCAAATGGGACTAAGCCTTAAAAATCTCCCTCTTCTTCCTCCTGATGCAGCTTTCCCTGAAGCAGGCTGTGGATGTGGCTGCATCCCTGAGCTGCTCTCCACCTCC